TTGATGTGTTTGGGGGGGGGGGTTATTTCTTTCTCTTTCTCTCATACATGCATAAACACACAACTTCTAACATTAAAAAAAAAAAAAAGAAGAAAACAAAATAAAACAAAAATTTATCTCCAAGGATGGAAAATAGTTGTTTTTTTGTTTTTCTGGGTTTTTTTAATTATAACAATATGAAAGAATCAAGTATACCGCAAAGAATTTGGAAAAAAGAGGCAATCTGGAAGGCTTTGAAGTCATCATGTTTGACATCATATTTTATGTCAAAGTTACCATAAAGCTGTACTAATCAAACTATGGTATTGGCTAAATTGTGAACATACCTATCCCTGTGGCCAAATAAAGACTAGAGGGGTCAGCATGTGGAATACTGGTTAAGGAGTAGGACTCCCACAAGGCCCTCCATGGTTTGAGTACTGGACTTAGCAGCTCGAAAATCAGGCTAGGTGTGTGTGCATGCATGCCCAAAATCTTGAGAGGAGAATGGAGGAGAAGGAAATACAGTTGGCTATCCCCCCACCCCCAGGGAGTGATTTCTCACTTTCTCTCTGTCTCTCCAGCAAGTGCACACACCTTATAGCAAAAATCTCTCAAATAAATAAATAAAGACTATACTACATTATCACATTTTGTTGCTTTAACTAATGACATTTGTTTTCAAATGCTTTGCAATTACAAACATTCCTAATGTCATTTTACAAGCCTCCTAGTACACATGTGCAATATTTCCCTGGGCATCTATACCTAGAGGCAGAATTTTTGAAAGGCTGGATATATGTATTTTCAAATTTGTTAGGTCTGGTCCTATTGTCCCCTAAAATGAGCAATGTAAGAGATTCTATTTTTCTTATATTTCACTAGCACAGTATTGTTAGGGTACTGATTTTTACCAAACTATTTGTGGGGAGCAGTATTATTTTACTACTTCACTCTAAGCATCTTTATTTATTTTTTTCTTTTTTTGGAGAGATTTTTGCTATAGGGCACGTGCGCTCACCAGAAAGAGAGGGAGACAGACAGAAAGTGAGAAATCACCCCCAGGGGGGATGGCCACACTGCAATCCCTTCTCCTCCATTCTCCTCTCGGGATCTTGGACATGCACGCACACGCACCTGGCATGAGTTTAAGCCACCGGGTCCAGGACTTGTACCGCAGTCGACTACATGGGAGTCCAGTGACATAGCCATTACGCCAACTGCTGGTCCCTCTAAGCATCTTTTGATATGTACATTCTGCTTTTTTGTTTACTCTTTTGTATTCTGCTTATTTTCTTTTGCTCATTTTCCCAAAAGCACACGCACTTCTATTAAATTGTAGGTAATCTTCATTTTTATCTGAATATGAATTGAAAGAAGTGTTGCATATAAATTTTCCTACTTTATATGTTAAAAATAATTATTTTTATAATTTTTTAAAAATTTGCTATAGGGCACATGCACTCACTAGACAGAGAAGGAAAGAGAGAGGGAAAGTGAGGAAGCAAGTCACCAGTTCTGGGACTCGAACCATGCTTGGTCATGTGTCCAGCGTCCAGCACCATTACCACCATGCCACCTGTTGGCCATGTCTTGTCTTTTAAAATGTT